TAGCCACCTTCAGTAGGAGAGCTTGAAGCTGCCTGTGTCGTATCATTCACCTGCTGGTGCCACCAGCAGTCTGCCTGCTGACTAGACTGCAGAGAAGCTGCTTGACTTCTTTCCCTGTTTGCCCATCTGTTAAATGGAGTGAACACTTGCATGCTTCGCAGGTGTGATGTCAATTGTATGACATCTCTCTATTATCCTGAAGTTCGGAAGAACAGGCATGCATATTTATAAGGGATTTAATGTCTTATGCTTCAGGGCAGAAACTAACCTCTAATTAATAAGGTTCAAAAGCAGCTTCCCGTGGGGTAGTGAATTTTTCAGAGAAGCTTTCTTGTGTTATCCTTTGCCTCTTTTGCTGTTGGCTACCATCAGACTGGTAGTGGAGTGAAGGAATATGTGATCTGAGCCAGTAACTCTTATGTTCCTAGAAGACAGCACTGTGTGCCAATGAGTACACATCAGTTCTCTTTGTAAACTGCACTCCCAGCAGATCCAGGCCAAATAAAAGAATATGAATTAGAAGTGCAATGCAGGAAAGAAATACTTGTCTTTGTATTTGGCAAAAGGGTTACAGCTGATAGCCATGTGTGGCACAAACCACAATGTTTTTGCCAACCCATTGTGCAAAAAGCAGAGTACAGGATTCTAGGTTGACCCTCTACTACCTAGCTCAACTTTGCCATGCAGCTGTAAAAACTGTGTCCATTTGTTGTCAGAGCGCTGCCCTTTTCCTTTTTCGAACTGCTTCCTCTAAAGCTGCTCTACTGAGCAGGCTCCCATACACTTGGCCAGATTGCTATCTGGCAGTGGTCAGTGGTTCTTGACAGTGTTGTGATGTTTACCCGTGCGTGTCTCAAAATCAGGAAGAATGATGAGGCAAGTACAAGCCATGATGTTCTCTTTAATACCTCCCATATCCACAGTCACTCTTCTCTGGTTGATTTTTGTCCAGCCTCTGTCAGGGGAGCAGTCTCCTGGCCCTTCACTTACTTCAGTACCTGTAATGCTAACATCAGCACTGCGAGATCTAGGCTGCTCTCAGAGGAGCAAATGCAAGCTCTTGGTTCATTGCTTTTGCAATCTAGTTAAGATTTATTGTGCCCCACAATAGTGTTTGCCAGCCTTTGCTAAAGAGGTTTTAATCTAACTTCACAATAGAAGCTAGCAAAGGTGGTGTACCTACACCAGAAGTGATGTAAATGGCATCCTCCTAACAGTGATTTAGGGAAAGTCTTCTCCAACGTTTACTGTTACTGACATATAAAGAACTATTTAAGTATTTTTTTATTCAGATCTTTCCTTTATGAAATTCCTCTGTGCTTCTCTTCTTTAATTTCTGTTGTTCTTTATGGCTCTACAATCATTTAGCATCTCCACATTATCCCTTTGTTTCTAAGCCCACCTGAATTCTTCCTTCCTTATCAGATTTACATCAGCTCTAACTTGTTTTAGACAAAGCAAGTCCTCATATTTCTTGGTTATAAGAGAGGATTGGTAGAGACTTGGAAAGGGAGGGGAAATAATCTTGCAGCTGCCTGGAAGCATCATTCTTAAAGCTCGAGGAAAAAAAGCCATGCTGGGTAGCTTCCTCTGCAAAGGCTCTTCTAGCTACAGTCAGTAGAGTCTCAGGTTCCCTAGGTAACCTGAATATTAATTATTATATTAGTATTCTTCAAAGGTTTTCCCCTTAAAAGAAATGTTTCATTAGTGCAACAAATTACAGAGCCCAATTGGGTGCAAGCTGTAGTTGTTTTTTACACCTCCACATCTCTTTGCTTTACAGACTTTTAAGTTTCATTTATTCTCATTTGGGCTATACCCCCATGGTGGCAAATAATCTGCAGGTTTTCCAAATAGTTGCTACTCCTGTTTTTGCTGCAAGCTAACAAATAGCTAAAACAGCCTTCAAAATGACTCAGGGGGGAGGAGAGGGAGGATATGGAGAAAGGCTGAGCAGATGCTGTGTTTCAGAGAAGCCTCTGGGCATTGTATTTCTGGGCTATCTCGCAGAGCTTGGAGGCTGGCAAAGCAATGCTACAGTTCTTCAGGAGTGGTATCACACTGGAATAGCCCTGTGTGAGCTGTGGATACTGAGCCCCCTCCCCATGGAAATACCATCCCTGACAAACCTAATTTGCATCTGATAATGAAGGGAGAAGGAAATTCCTAGGTGTAAAAATACAGTTTTAAAACCCCTGATGTTACACTGCAGTTCTGCAGTTTAACTGGCATAGTGCTCCACCCCACCAAAATGTTTTTAACTTTTTTTAAAAGAAAACATTACTACTTTAAAAAAAGAACCCTGGGTCTTGAAAAGACTAGTTAAAAGATCAACCCATTTTCATAGTCCTGTAATTTCCCTTCCTGCTTTTTATTCCACTCGACCTCTATTACCCTTTTCCCACTTTAATATCTCTTCTGAATAGTGTGTGTTAAACATTCCTGCAGATTATAAAATCCTACTCCTTCTTGAAGAGATTAATTTGTAGTGTGCTACGCTCTAACATATATAACAGTATTACTTAACACATCTGTGTACTGCAATGAACCGCAGTTGAAACACAAAT